TTTTCTTTTTTTTTTTTTTTGACATCTTAGTAGTTTTCCAATTTAAAACAATGAAATGCATTTGAATTTGATATAATTACTTCTGCTGTGTCAAAAAAGTCTCAAAAAATAGTGCATTAAACCGAAGATATTTTTTACAGTTTCAGTTTTAGATCAGAAAAGATAGCAAGACAGAATAAACTATTTAGTTGATTCATTAAATATTTTGAAATTTTAACAAGTGTTTTTAAAATTAATTTGTGAACAAATTTAGAAATTATTTTGAATATTTAAAATGCTTTTGAAAGCAAAGATACTGTAAATCTCTAAGATAAAATCAATTTCCTTGAATCATTTATTTTCTCAACTTGATAGATTAGCATTCAAAAGACAAGAATAGTTATGAAAACGTAGTGGTACAGTTACTACTGTAATCAGTATCGTCATTTACAAATTTCAGACCTGCAAAAATACTCTGTACAAAGATTTTCGAGACATAAAACACACGACACTCTCAGAACGAGGAGCTATCCGAGAAGCAATGCGATGTCTGAAATGTGCAGATGCTCCATGTCAAAAAAGTTGCCCAACCCAAATAAACATCAAGTCGTTTATCACGAGTATTGCTAACAAGGTTTCTGCTATTAGTTCATCTTACTCTACTACGAGCAGGCAAATAAATAGATATTAAAATTAGCCTCATAGTTGGTGAACGCACGGTATACTTACCTTATTTGAGGCATTCTGAGAATCTTTAGTTGGTATTTGGTTAGAACTAAAAATTTCTAAACTGTTTTTGCTTGTCTGGTTTTTGAATGTTGTATACTTGTTCAACACGAGGCACATTTCCGTCATTCTTCCTATCTTCTTGTTTTACAAATTTTCATGAAAAATTAAGTCTCGAAAAATTCAAGACGTGCTGATGACAGTGATCGCCGTTTATTAGTGTCATTGGTCATAAACTTATTAAGCCTAACTTTCATTAAATATATATTATAAGTGAAAAGTAATCAAAAGGCTTTTTGTTTAGTGATGAAAATTGCCTGTTTCAACAGCGCTCTCAGAGTTTTTGATCATATGTGCATAAGATTTTAGAATTACTATGGAGCCGCTAAACAGATATTCAGCGATAATCCACTTGGTCTCACATGTGGTATGATATGTCCGGTATCAGATCTCTGTGTCGGAGCGTGTAACTTGCAAGCCAGTGAAGAAGGAGCAATTAAAATTGGCGGCTTACAGCAATTTGCTACAGATGTACGACTGTTAAGTCCTGAACCGCTTCAGTTTTATTTTTTACTGATACTAAAAATAATCATTAGAGCTTAAGATCGCTAATTTTTAGGTGTTTAAAAAGATGAATATTAAGCAAACAGTGCCAGAGTCGGTTATTAAAGCTCGCAATGAAAGTCATCGACAGCCTATTGCACTATTAGGGTGTGGTCCAGCAAGTCTGTCTTGCGCTACGTTCCTCTGTCGGCTCGGCTACACAGATGTTACAATTTATGAGAAGAAAGATTACTGTGGCGGACTGAGGTGATCACTCACTTAAATAACCAGGTTCTTTTGTTCAAAATTTGCATCAGTAGTAACGTACAATTACCGGCTCATCAGTTTAGCTCATCAGAAATCCCACAGTTTCGGTTGCCTTATACGGTTGTTGATTTTGAGATTCAGCTAGCAAAGGATATTGGTGTTAAGGTCTGTCTAGTACTATGTTTTTCAAAATTTAACGACAACAGTTTTTTTCCTATTTCTGAAATTATTTTCTATTTTACTTTTCAATTGATTTTCAGATAAAATTTTCTAGTTTTATTTAAAAGCCTGTGATGCTTTAAAAAGTGTAATATTTTGTTAATTTTACTGAAATTTTCACAGTATTTAATTCTAGATTGTAACAGGTCGAGAGTTGCATAAAAACGACTTAACTTTAAAAAAATTAAAAAATGAAATGGGTGCGAAAGCAGTATTTATCGGCATTGGTAACCCAGATCCTAAGCGTAATGCAGTCTTCAAAGGTCTTTTTCTTGCACCTTAGTCACTTTTATTTAATACCTTATGCAATTTTTTTTTGTTATTTTAGTATCAGAAAAGTTGATAGCAACATCAGACAATTACTTCACTTCTGTTTATTGGTTACGAGAAATCAGAAGTATTATCAGTTTAATAATTTAAGCAAAGCAATAAGGAAAGTGGTGTCAGGTGTAATCCTGCTTTTAACAAACGGTTCCTATGCGTTTCTGCACTGTATTCATTCAGGTCTTGATTCAAGTCATGGCTACTACACTTCTAAGGACTATCTGCCATTAGTATCGGTAGCGAGCAAAGCAGGTCAGCTAGCTAGACATTCAACACTTCTCCTGTTTCCAGTGTAATTAGCAAAACAATTTTTTGTTCCTTGAATGATAGGAAGGAAGAGATCTGCATGTGACGGTTTTTTTTGGGCCACTACAAACTCATAACTCAGTTTTTTCAAAGGAGACCTCATTGTTGTTGTTTTCAATTAACCTTCTTGTGAGTAACTATTTTAAACGAGAGAACATTCTTTGTTAGGGTTGCATAAGGGAAATGCCGAATTACCAGAAATGAAGGGTCGGGTAGTCGTCCTTGGCGCTGGCGATACAGCGTTAGACTGCGCAACTGCAGCTCTCAGATGTGGAGCTGATAGAGTAACTGTGGTTTTCAGGAAAAGTCTGAATACAATGCGAGCTGTTCCAGAAGAGGTGGTTGCTTGCGATTACAGTTTACTTTTAACCTTTTTATCAGTGTTTGTGGACGAGAAAATTTCAGATAGAAACTGCCAAGGAAGAACGTTGTGAGTTCATACCGTATATGGAACCCAGAAAAGTGCACATGAAGGACGGTAAAATCGTTGCGGTCGAATTCCAAAAAACCGATCAAGTAGCATTTATCTTTTGCTTTTTTATTTTCTAATTAGTTTTTTGCTGGTTGTTATTCGTATGAGACTTACCAACTACTTGCATGGTATTGTTTTTGGTCTACATAATTTTCAGTTTTCTCTTTTTAATTCAGGATTTAGATGGTAAGTGGTACGATGACGGAGATCAAACTGTGAAAATAAAAGCTGATTACGTGATCAGTGCGTTCGGATCGACACTACATGATCAAGCTGGTAAGAATACCTATTATAATTTTATTGTGAAAGAAGCTTTCAAGTTAGTTAAACTAACAGAATAGCGGAGAGCGTGCAGAGGTACTTTTTCGTAGATATCCTGATGATCATGCAATATACAGTGACTTTCAGTTTCGGATGCGATGCAACCGTTGAAGCTTACTAAATCGGGTGCACCAGAAATATGCAAAGATACTTACAGAACCAGTGAACCATGGGTCTTCTGTGGAGGTGATGTGAGTGGCGTTGCTGAAACCACAGTTGAGGCAGTCAATGACGGTAAAGTTGCAGCTTGGGGTATTCATAAATACCTCCAGAGCCTTTGTGGAAATGATGTTGGTAATGAGCCGAAACTTCCTGGGTTCCACACACCAATTGACGATGTAAGTGTAGATAAAGTTGATCAAGGGTTGCCACTAAAGTTACAGCCTTGTAAATTATTTTATTTTAGTCTACACATTCATCTACCGCTTTCTTGTATCTTCTATAGGTTGATATATCTGTGAATCTCTGCGGTCTAAAGTTCGAAAATCCGTTCGGGCTTGCATCGGCGCCGCCGTCTACATCGGGAGCCATGATTCGCCGAGCATTTGAACAAGGGTGGGGATTTGCGTTGACAAAAACATTTGGACTTGATAAGGTTTCTGAATTTGAGAATCTGTTGAAATGTACTAGTGCTCTTTGCTACCGCTTTCGTTTACGGCATATTACGTAGCTCGACGTTTATTATTATCATATATTCACGAGAGGAACTTTAAGGATCTGGTGACTAATGTAAGTCCTCGAATTGTACGAGGCGACATTAGTGGGCCAGTTCACGGACCACATCAAAGCGCATTCATGAATATCGAATTGATTTCTGAAAAGACTATTGCATATTGGGTGGAATGTATCAAGGAATTAAAACGCGATTTTCCAACGAAAATAGTCATTGCATCCATTATGGCCAGCTTCAATGAAGTCAGTTTTCACCCTTGTTTTAGAAGCCTACTGAACGAATTTCTACTTTCAAGCATTTGCAGAAAGTTACTGAAAACTTCCAATCGAGCTCTTAAAGTTTTTGGATTCTATCAGTCTTCAAGGCACTCAAATGAACATATGGCGGTTTTTACGACACTTTCTAGGAGTTTTTAGGCTGACTGGAAAGAGTTGGCGACAAGAGCTCAAGACGCAGGAGCTGATGCTTTGGAACTTAACTTGTCATGCCCTCACGGTATGGGCGAACGAGGCAAGACTTTTACACTTTTAATGATGAATTAATACTGTCAATGTATCATAACCAAAATTTATTAGAATTTTTAGGAATTCATTTAACTATCTATCCAAGTGTCTTCGCTTTTAAGTATTATACTAATATATTTCTACCGCAGTGACTTGAAACATCCTAAATTTTCCAAGTACGGGGTTGAAAGCATGAGCAGTAGCACACCTCCTAATTTCTCTTGTCATTTCCCAATTCGAAACTTGTTTTGGGTCTAGCACTTCCTTTGTTTCATACGCAGTCAGGTCAAAAACTTCCATATACTAGCCTCCGGTAGATTTTACATTTTTATGATGTTTTTAAGCACTGTCTGATACAATGTCTTTGATGGTATATTTTAATTATAGATGAATAGGTCCACCGCTGTGACTGGTAATCATCTTCAAATTACCTATTGGTCTACACCTCAAAATTATTTCATTTTAGGTATGGGGCTGGCTTGTGGACAGGATCCGAACATGGTGCGTCAGATCTCTCAGTGGGTTCGGTCTGTCACGAAAGTCGGTTTGACGTCTTGCTTCTTTACCTTTTTTATTCTAAAACTTGTCTTCAGCTTTTATTTCTTCTTTCTTTATCCAGGCTGACATAATTTATAGCCTGTTAGGCTTTTGGTAAT